CTGACTTTTGTAATCACCTCGAACAATTTACCCACAACCAAAGTCAACTCACAGGTCTATATTCTAACTGCACTGTAATTAACACATTCATATTATCTCTGTCCTTTCAGAATCTAAGCCCTGAATTATAAAACTTTGGAGCCCACTGGCTTTATGACCACTTCATCAATTTTTCCGCCCACTTTTAAAGGTTTGTGTGTTTGAGTTTCTTGTAGATTTTTGAAGTAGTAACATGGCTGAGAGACATTGAGGTGTAATTTCTGATACAGTGTGTATTATGGGAACGGGAAGTTTATTCTGAGTTAGAGACTCAAATTGGCACTTCCCTGCAGACAGGGCACCATGGCAACACTGATAAGACATTCTGTAGCTGAGAATGATCTCATTGGAAATCAGGTCAGGGAAAAGGACATGGTTTTTCAGTGATTTACCATAATATAACATTCAACCAGAGTGAGTGAGAAAATAGATTAGACTTTGAACGTGTGATGTCTGTATCTATCATTGTGAAACTGTCAGAAACAACAGAATTAACAGTAACAGGAAAGTGTTGGGTGAATGAGAAAATGACTGAAGAAAAGCAACTGTTGTGAACCATGGAATATGTCCTTGTAAATCATAGATAAGAGAAATTCCAGCTGTCTTTTCCTCACTTGCTACCAGTACCCAGCAGAGAAAACAAAGAATGTTTGGGGCCAGAGCTGGATCACTGCAGGGTATAAAAGTGAGGGAATACTGATATAAGGGGACACCGAAGATCAACCTCAGGGTGCTGAGGTTCCATCCAGCAGCTGACAAGGGACTTGAATATTCACTTTGATTCATGGATCAGCATAAGATACACTCCAAAGATGTGCAGGTTAGGTGGATTGGCCATGCTTAATTGCCCATTGTGTCCAGGAATGTGTAGGTTAGATGGATTAGCCATGGTAAATGTAAGGGTTCAAGGATAGGGTAGGTAGGTGTGTCTGGGCAGAATGCCGTTCGGAGAGTCGGTGTGAACTTGACGGACCGAATAGCCTGTTTCCACACTGTAGGGATTGTATGATTCTATCCATACAATGGAGGACAGCGAATCTGCTCAACTTTCTCAATAATGTGTGAAGTTGCTGCTACTGGATGGTCAAAGTTGGTGAGTAATAAGACCAGGTGTCAGCTAGAATCTTCTATCCCTTTACTGTTCCTTTCCTGTGGGTCTTATCCATAGTTTATGAAATTCTTTATTTATTCTTATTTAGGAAACCTTTTTACTTTTAGGAATCATGATTTTACTTCTCTGTATTTAATTTCATTGGATGTCTTGTTGCCTCATATGAATTATAGAATGGTGATGGGCAGACAAGACTTAGTGTAAGTCTGCACATGGGCAGTGGAGTTTTGGATGAGCTTGAGATTACAGGGAGTTTCAATGTGGGAGGCTGTCCGGGAGTATATTCGGATAGTTAAGTCTCGAGGTAACAAAGGAAAAGCACTGTTCCCAGTGGGGAGAAATTCAAACCCATCAAGGACAATGCAGTTAGCCTGAAGGCTATCCCATCCAACAACTTCAACGTTCACTCCCTTCACCAGTGAAACGCAGCGTGCAATATCTCTAGGATGTACTACTGTAACTCACCAATGCTCCTTTGACAGCACCTTCCATATCCATAACTTCTGCCACCAATTAGGACAAGGGTACAGAATCACAGGCACACCACTACTTACAACCACTCCTCATCCCAAGACACACACTATCCTGACTTGGAACTTCTTTCATTATTTAATCTTGGGACATGGGTATCACAAGCTAGCCAGCATTTATTGCCTAGCTGCCCTTAACTGCTAGCTAGGTCATTATCACAATTAACTCCCTGTCCTGGAGTCAAAATGCCAAAACTCCCTTACTGAAAGGACTGTGGGTGAACCTACATCACATGCATTGCAGCATTTTATGAAGGTAGCTCACCATCACCATCTTCAGGGCAAGACGGACAATAAATACTAGTCTGTGCAACAAAGACCAGATCCCACGAATAATGAAAATTGAGTGTTTTCTGTTATGTGGCATGCTTGTAGAAGCTGAGATAATTCTCTATAAAGCTGAGAAAGTTAAGCAATGATTTATTCAATATATAAATTTATTTCTAGAAAATTTCAAGTGCAGAGATGGAGGAATTATTTACATTGGCAGAATGTTTGGTAACAACAGAATTCAGCTTTCAGATAATTGGCATATAATGTAGGTAAAGAGGTGGAGATTATTTTACTCAGCAAGTTCTGGGGATCTGGAACAGACTGAATAATAAGTGTCAGCAGATTCAGCTGTCATTCTTAATACTGATTTGGAATGTAACTTAATAGGGAAAAAAGAAAATTATACAAAGAAGATTGTTTTAGAATTTTGGGAAAAAAGATCAAAACTACAACACTTTAAAAAGGAGGAAGACAGAGAAAGGCAGGGACAACATGGGAAGTGAATCAACACAGAAAGAAACCTGCATTGCACTCTGATCCAGGTTGGAGAGGGAGGTAGGTAGTGCAGGAGTCTCTTGTGGCTATCCCATCTTAAACAAGTACGCTGTTTTGGAAAATGTAGCGGGTGATGAACTCTCAGGGGAATGTCACACTGATAGCCAGCTTTCTGGTTCCGAGACTGGGTCTAATGTAATGAGGGGTATGCCAGGTTTCAAGCAATCAATTGCGATAGGGGACTTGCCAGTCAGATGCACATACAGAGGTTTCTGCAGCCAAAAGCGAGATACCAAAATGGTGTGTTGCCTCCCTGGTGACAGGATTGAGGATATTTTCAAATGAGAGAGGGACCAGCAGGAGGTAATTGAACACATTGGAGCTAAAGGCACAGGAAGAGGAAAGGAAGAAATTCTGAGCAGAGAATATAGGAAGTTAGGCAGGAATTTAAAAGGCAGGTCCTTGTGGGTAGTAATATCTGGATTACTCCTGGTTTCACAAGCTAGTGAGGGTAGGAATAGGAGGATAGAGTAGATGAATGCATGGCTAAACAGCTGGTGCAGGGGAGAAGGATTCACATTGTTGGAACATTAGAATCTCTTCTGGGGTGGAAGTTACCTGTATAATAAGGATGGAATGCACCTGAATTAGAACAGGACTAATATGCTGGTAGGGAGATTTGCTGGAGATGCTTGGGAGGATTTAAACTACTGGGGGTTGGGACCCAGGGAGATAGTGAGGCAAAGAGATCAGTTTGTGACTGGCACAGTTGGGAAAAGGAGCAAGTCAACCAGTCAGGGCAGGCAGAAACAAAGCAGAGAACAAGGTAGGACTAAGAAATTAAACTGTATTTATTTTAATACAAGAGGCCTAACAGGTAAGGCAGATGAACTCAGGGCATGCTTGGGAACATGGAACTGGGATATCATAGCATTTACAGAGATGTGGCTCAAGGATGGACAGGATTGGCAGCTTAATGTTCCAGGGTATAGACGTGAGAGGAAGGATAGAAAGTTGGGGGTTGGGGCCGGGGGGGTGGAGGGGAGGAGGGGGAGTGGCATTTTTGATTAGGGATAACATTACGGCTGTATTTAGGGAGGACATTCCTGGGAAAATGGCCAGGGAAGTTGTTTGGGTGGAACTGAGATATAAGAAAGGGATGACCACCTTACTGGGATTGTACTTTAGACCTCCCAATAGTCAGTGGGAAATTGAGAAACAAACTTGTAAGGAGATCTCAGTTATCTGTAAGAATAATAGGGTGGTTATGGTAGGGGATTTTAACTTTCCAAACATAGACTGGGACAGCCATAGTGTTAAGGGCTTGGATGGAGAGGAATTTGTTAAGTGTGTACAAGAAAATTTTCTGGTTCAGTATGTGGATGTATCGACTGGAGAAGGTGCAAAACGTGACCTACTCTTGGGAAATAAGGCAGGGCAGGTGACTGAGGCATTAGTGGAGGAGCACTTTGGGGCCATAATTCTATTAGTTTTAAATAGTGATGGAAAATGATAGACCGGAAAAAGAAGGCTAATTAGCCAAGAACTTTCAAAAGTTGATTTGGGACGGATGTTTGCAGGTAAAGGGATAGCTGGAAAATGTGATGAGTCCAGAGACAGTATGTTCTTGTTAGGGTGAAGGGTGAGTCTAGTAGGTGTAGGGAATCCTGAATGACAAGAGAAATTGAAGTTTTGGTCAAGAAGGAAGTATATGTCAGATATAGATAGCAGAGATTGATTGAATGCCTGGAAGAGTATAAAGGCACTAGGAATACACTTAAGAGGGAAATCAAGAGGGCAAAAAAGGGACATGAGCTAGCTTTGGTAAATAGGGTTAAAAAGAATCCAAAGGGATTCTACAAATACATTAAGGACAAAAAGGTAACCAGTGAGAGAATAGGGCCCCTTAAAGGTCAGCAAGGCCGCCTCTGTGTGGAACTGCAAGAGATGGCTGGGGGGTGGGAGGGTTCTAAATGAGTATTTTGCATGAGTCTTTACTATGGAGAAGGATACGGAAAATAGAGAACGTGGTGAAATAAATAGCGTCATCTTGAAAAATGCCTATATTACAGAGGAAGTCATGCTGAACATCTTTAAACGCATAAAGGTGGATAAATCCCTGGGACCTGATCAGGTGTACGCTAGAACTCTTGTGGGAAGCTCGGGAATGATTGCTGGGCCCCTTGCTGAGACATTTGTATCATCAATAGCCACAGGTGAGGTGCTGGAAGACTGGAGGTTGGCTAACGTGGTGCCACTGTTTAAGAAAGGCGATAAGGAAAACACAGGGAGCTATAGACCGATGATCCTCGTATCGGTGGTGAGCAAGTTGTCGAAGGGAATCCTGATGGTCAAGATTTACCTGTTTTTAGAAAGGGACGATCTGGCTCCCCATCTCACATTGGAGCCCAGCTATTGACGGCAGCTCACCGACCAATTGGAGGAGAGTGGGCGGAGCTGGCGGACCAAGCGGAACCGGCCGGTCCTCCAACCAATGGGAGTGAATGAGGGGCGTGGCGAGCAGGATGGCACGTGATCATGACCGCGGCCGGCACAGTACCGCGTGACTGGCGCCTGAGTGAGTACGGGAGGCGGAAACAGGATGACCGGAGAATCAGCGAACACTGGGAGGAAAATGGAGCAGTCTGGACCGGGAGGGTTTATGAACACTCAGCATATTATGTTAGATGTGAATTAAAACTCCCGGTCCCGCGTTTGTAGCAAACAGGAAAGCGGCTGTGGGTCTCAGACGGTGATAGGCCCCATGTTGTCGTCGCCATCTTTATTGGGGGCAACTGCCACAGTGCGCATGCGCATAGTTCTTTTTGGTTGGGGCGGGGTGATTTGAAGAGGAGCATTTACCCAGGAAACTGAAATCAAGAGAAATGTTCGTCTTTTTCAGATTTCTATCCTGGACTGACAGTGATTTTTCTTTTGCGAATTCGTCTTACAGGATATTAAGTGAGAATAATTTGCAGACCGGAATATCAAAAAAGTTCTGATAGATGAGTCATCAGGATTTGAATATCATTGGCATTTCTCTGTGAAAGGAAAAAGGTTTGTCTGTTCTGTCCGGGGGAAAATATTTCTGATACGTTTTTAAATCAAAAAACAGCAAGATGTTCAAATTCTTGCTGAGATCACCCCTGGGGTATGTGCTCAGTTTCTCAGCTGAGGAAGGAGACACTGACCTGACAGGGAGCACAGATTTACCTAAGTTACACCTCATCTCTTCGAAAGAACTGTCGTATTTGGTCAAAAATCACCCTCTTCATGATGTTGGCCCATAAATTCTCAATCTCAAATAGCTGTAAATTTTCTTTTAAAATTCCTGATGGATTCGAATTCCAGTGCCCTTTTAATGTGTGGCATTCCAGATCCTGGCATCTCTCTCATCCTGAAACTGCTGAAGTCCATGTTGGGTCTGGAGGGTTATGAGGGGCTGATCTAGAAGATGAGATGTCGTTCCCTGAGCTTCCTTTGAGTGCATTGGAACAGCAAAGGAGCCTGAAGTCAGTGCAGGTGTGAGTAGATAATTAGTATGAGAAGGCTGTACTGAGAGTTCTGAGGAAGGGTCACCAGACTGAAACATTAACTCTGTTTTTCCCTTCACAGATGCTGCCAGACCTGCTGATCTTTTCCAGTAACTTAGTTTTTGTTGTACTGAGAGTGCTCCTTGGCTCAATGAGTGCACTTTGGAGTTGGGTGAAAACAGAGAATAAGGTGAGACAGGAAGAAGGTGAAACCGAAAGATTGAATGTGATGCTCAGTCTCAATTTGGCGGTTCAAAAAGTGATACAGTCCCAATAGAAAGAGTCAGTTGGTAAGTGATACCTGCATAGTATTTTCTTACGGTTTTGAAGTATATTATTTCAGCTTCTGTAAAGGCAATGGCTTTAGATTATAATAGAAATGTCTGAAACAAAGGAACATCCTTAGTTCAATTAACATGGGAACAAAAACAGAAGTTGCTGGAAGCTGAACAGATTTGGCAGCATCTGTGAAGAAAAAAATCAGTTAGCATTTCGCATCCAGTGACCCTTAGCTCAATTAAATTCTCTTAAAGGGAGTAATGAGCTTAATTTACAAAGAAGTCGTGACAGGAGACCTCAGAGTCCTGGTATGTTCCTCTTACACAATGTGGGAATTAAGGGAGGCTTCCAGTGTTGCTAATGGCTACGCGTGCAAGAAGTGTGTTCATTTGGAGCTGGAGCTGTGAGTGGACTCACTGTGGAACATCCACCATACTGAGAATGTCATGGACAGCACATTTAGTGAGTTGGTCACACTGCAGATGAGAATTACACAGACAGAAAGGGAATGGGTGACCATCAGATGAAGTAAAAGGCTCAGGAAGGAAGTGCAGGACTCCCCAGTGGTCATCCCACACTCAAACAGATTTACCACTTTTGATATTGTTTGAGATGGTCAGGGGTGGCCTCGGGAAATCAGCAACATCCAAATTCATGGCACGACGGGTGGCACTGCTGCACAGAAGGGGAGGATAATGAGTTGCAAGGATATAGTGCCAGATGCAGGAACCATTGCAACATTGAAGAAATGTTTAGATGATCATACAAGGCACGACAATATAGTTTACATGGTGAGTGCCAGAAAATGGGACTAGATTAAATAGGTGCTTGATGATCTGCATGGATACAATGGGACCTCTGTGGTCGTAGACATGAATCCAGGATGGCATGTTTCCTTCCTGGTACCAGGATCAGGGATATCATGGAGTGGTTGCAGGACATTCCGGAGCTGGAGGGTGAATAGCCAGTGGTAATGGAACACAGAGATACCAACGACATAGCTAAACAAAGGGATGAGGGCCTGAAAGCAGAATATAGGAAGGTACGTGATACATTAAAACACAGCACCTGAAATGTAATAATGTCAGCCTTAATCCCAGTGCCACGTGCTAGCGAGAGCAGGAATGAAAGGATACATTGAATGAATGTGTGGCTGGAGAAACAGTTTAGATTCTTGCAGCATTGGGACTGTTTCTGTTGGAGTTGGGACCTGTACAAGGCTGACCAGTTCTTCTTGGGGAGAGCTGGGACAAATCTCGTGGGGTTTTTGCTAGTTCCTTTGGTCAGGTTTTAAACTAGTGTGACGGGGGAATGGGAACCAAAATGTCGGCTTAGATTAGTCGGATTCAGATCATGAATTGGGAGGCAGAATATTAGTTAGTTGATCCAGTCAGCAGCTCATAAAGACAAAAGAAATGAGGATTAAATGAGGATAGAGTCTCTTTTCATACATCAGTCTGGTAAACCTTCCTTATGCTATCTCAATGGCCAGGGCATCCTTTCTTGGGAAAGGAGAACAAAGGTGCACACGATTCTCCAGGTGTGGGCTCACCAAAGCCCTTACAGAAAAGTATCCCTGCTCAAGAACGTGAATCCTTTCACTGTGACGGCCAATGTATCATTTGCATTCTTCACTGCCTGCCATTTCTGCCTGCTTATGATAAGATAGTCATGAAGCAAAATGGGGTCAGAGATTCGGATGTAAAAATGTAAACACAACGTCTCCATCATATCCATGCAGGTCATAAAGGACCTATTTACTCTAGTCCCATTTTCTGGCACTCAGCGTGTAAACTACATTGTGGTACCTTGTATGATCATCTAAACATTTCTTCAAGGTTGCAATGGTTCCTGTATCTGTTACCAATTCCGGTGTTGCCAGATCTTCTGAATGTTTCCAGCATTTTCTGATTTTATTTTGGATTTCTGCCATTTTGCTTAAGCAGTTAGTGTCATAGAGTTACACAGCATGCAAACAGACCCTTTGGTCCAACTCATCCATGCTGACTAGATGTCCTAAACTGACCTAGTTCCATTTGCCAGCATTTGGCTCATGTCCCTCTAAACACTTACTATTCAGATATCCATCCAGATGCCTTTTAAATGTTGTATCTGCACCTGTCTCCACTACTTCATCTGGCAGCTCATTTCATACATGCACTGCTCTGTGTGAAAAGATTGACCCTTAGGTCCCTTTTAAAATCTTTCCTGCCTCAACTTAAACTTATGCCCTCTCGTTTTGAATTCCCTTAAACAGGGAAAAAAATCCTTGGCTATTCACCCTAACACATGTCCCTCATGCTTTTATAAACCTCAATAAGATCATTCCTTAGACTCTGACACTCCAGAGGAAAAACACCCCGGCCTATTCAGCCGTTCCCTACAACTCATTTCTCTAATCCCAGCAACAAATTTGTAAATCTTTTCTGAATGCCTTCAAGTTTAACAATATCTTTCCTACAACAGGGAGACTAGAACTGAACGCAGTCTTCCAAAATTGTCTGTGAAGATTCATCTGAAATGTCCAAACACCAGCGCAGTCACGCTGAGGAGCGACGGTGGAAATGTGGTGATTGCGGGAAGGGATTTCTTTATCCATCCAGGCTTGAACTTCACCAACGCAGTCACACTGGGGAGAAGCCATTCACCTGCTCTGATTGTGGGAAGGGATTCACTCGGTCATCCAGCCTGCGGATCCACCAGTGGGTTCACACTGGGGAGAGACCATATGCTTGCTCAGTATGTAGGAAACCATTCGCTGAGTCATCCAGTCTGCTGAAACACCAGCGAATTCACACTGGGGAGAGACCATTCACCTGCTCTGATTGTGGGAAGGGATTTACACTATCATCCAATCTGCGGATCCACCAGCGAGTTCACACTGGGGAGAGACCATTCACTTGCTCCCACTGTGGGATGGGATTCAGTCAGTTATCCAGCCTGCAGATACACCAGCGAGTTCACACTGGTGAGAAACCATTCATCTGCTCCCTGTGTGGGAAAGGATTCAGTCAGTCATGCAACCTCCTGATACACCAGAGAGGTCACACTGGGGAGAGACCATTCACCTGTTCTGAATGTGGGAAAGGATTCATTCGCTCATCTAACTTGCTGGAGCACCAACGAGTTCATACTGGAGAGAAACCATTTACCTGCTCTGATTGTGGGAAGGGATTTACCCAATCATCCCACCTGCGGAGACACCAGCGAGTTCATGCTGGGGAGAAACATTCACTCAGTCAACTCACCTGATACAGCAGCCTATTCACTGTGGAGAAACTGTTCACTTCTTCAGTATGTGGGAAGGGATTTCAAACTGTTTGTGCACCAGTGAAATGACACTGGGTAGATCCCGTTCACCTGCTGTGTTTATGCAAAAGGCCTTGCTGTTTCCTGACACAGCAGCAAATTCACAAAGAACCACAAGTGAAAGATTTTGCTTTTACTGACACCAAGGAATGAACCTTGGTCATTGGGCTATTTGTGTTGATGTTACTAAACCCTGCTCCATTAAACGGGCTGACATTGCAGATAAAAAGATGATACAACTGTCTATCAGTTTAGAATAGGTTTTAGAAATTGCAGTGTGGCTGTACATCAACACATTTATGCTGGGTAAAGACTATCCACCTTCATATTGTTTGTAAAGTGATTTTGAAGTTTATAAGGATTGGTTAAACAAGAGTGTTCCCGAGTAATTGTCCATGTTGGATTTTGATGCTATTGTTATCTAAATCCAAACCATGCTTTCTGACGCTATTTCTGATGATGTTTGTAAAAACCACAGGTTCAGTTACCTATTTGGGATAAAAAAAGTACGAATTAGCATTTTGTTAAAACAAAGTTGCATCAAGTCTTTATCTAATTCTGAGTGCCTTAGAGTTAAGATAATCAGTACCCTTCACATTAGCAGTTGGGAGAAGGCACATCCAGAGTGAGCTATAGCCTGAAATGCTGGAAATGTAGTTACAAGTGCTGTTGGGGCATGTGCAGCTTAACTTGGCAAGGGTCTGGGATCCAGACAGAATATCCAAAAAGATAAGAAGAAAATTGAAAGATCAATAAGTGAGTCAGGAAGGCATCAACATTACAAGTCACTTTAGGTACGAGGGAGTTTGACATGGTTGAATGGCATTGATTTTAATGCTGAGAATTTGACGAACAAGGCGAACAAGAACGAGTTGAGAATACAAATTAAAAATGGTGTATGCTGTCACTGAGACACGGTTGAGAGAGAGGCAGGGTTAGAAGCCGAATACTTCAGGATACAGGGCTTCATGCAAGACTGCAAAGGAGGAAAAAGAAATGGAGCTGTCACAGTTATGTTTGGGGAATTTATTACAGCAATAAGGAGAGATGACATCATAGAAAACTCCTTAAATGAACCTGTATGGGTGGATCAAGTAGAGCTGGTAAGGAGGCAAATTTCAGGGAAGTGTAACAGTCATAATATTGGCAGGGGAGGGGTGGATTTCAACCTTCCCAACATTAACTGTGGTCATGATAGTGTGAAAGGTTTAGAGGAATATTTTTTAAAAATCCAGCACAGCTGTTGAAGCCAGTATGTAGAAATCTCAATAAGGAAAGGGAGGTCCTAGACTTATTTTTATGTAACAAAGGCAGATAAGTGGTTGAAGTATCAGTGGGGGAGCTTTTGTGAGATAGTTATTCAAAACTTTTTTTTTTAGAAAAGATTCAGGGTTGATCTGGAAAAGGATAAGGATGGGGCTCAAGTCAAGGTTCTAAATTGGCTGATTTTAATAAGACCAGATATGATTTGGGCCATAGTGCACAGGGAGCAGATACTTTCAGGGAAATGTGCAAGAGGGAACTTAAATGGGGAGATAAGGAGAGCTATAAAGGGAACATGAATTAGGAAAGGTAGGTAAAATAAAGGAAAATGCTCAGTTGTTTTACAAGAACGTTAATGGTTAAAGGATAAAGGAAAGAGTAAGGCCGATTAAATTCAATCATATAGCTCTCTCTGATTTGTCTCTCTCAGTAGTGAACACTGACACAAAGTATTCATTCAGAACCAGGCCTACATTCTCTGGTTCTACATTCACTGTGGTGGTACTGAAACAAATTAGCATGGACAGAGAAGTTTTGAGTTGTCTGGCAGGCTTAAATGTGGATAAACCTCCAGAGTCGGGTGAAATGTATCCCATGTTAGGACGAAATAGCAGGGTTGCTGACAAAAATTTTCAATTCCCCTCTGATCATAGAAAAGATGCTAGAGGACTGAAGACTCGTCAAAGTGCAACTTTATTCAAGAAGGGGGCAAAGCATAAACCAAGAAACTGCAAGCCAGTCAGCCCCACCTTGGTGGTGGGGAAACTATTGGAAGTAATGCTGAGGGATAGAATTAATTTCAAAACATTAGAAGCTGTCTGTTTGGGGACTCCCAGGATAATTGTTGAGTGAGCAATTTTTGGGCAAAGTTGGTCTGCAGCCAAAATCCCTATTGACAATCCAGGAATGTTTTACGGAGAATGCTGACGGGAAAAATAAATAGACCAGCCACAGAAGGAAGCCTATCAACCAGTAATCTTTTGGTTAACAGCCGAATGCAATGAGCAATTAACTTGTCCAAATATTGTTGCTTCTCACTGATCCAGGTTGAATTCTGTTTACTACTGATCAGCCTGTCTATACCCTCCTTTAAGCTAAAGCTGTCTTCACTATTTACCGCCCATTACTTTTGTATCATCTGTGAGCTAACTGACTGTCCGTCCTACATTCAAGTCCAAATCATTTATATAAACCATAAACAACAGGGGCTCAACACTGACCACTATGGGACCCTACTTCCAGTCAGAAAAATATCCCCCAACCATCACCTCTGCTTCCTGCCGCTCAGTCAATTGTGGATCCAATTTGCCAAATTTTCATGGAAATAATGGGCTCTTACGTTTGCTGTCAGTCTCCCAAGCAGGACTTTATGAAAAACTTTGCTGACATCCAACGACACTGCATCAAAGATGTTTACCCCATTGACACAACTGGATACCTCCTCAAAAAATTGAATCATGTTGTTCAGATGTGACCTCCCCTTTAAAAAATGCATGCTTACTGTTGTTGATTAATCCCCTTGCTTATCCCTGATTTCTCCAAAGATGATACCAGACCTGTTGAGCTTTTCTAGAAATTTCTCTTTTTTTGTTTCTGATTTCCAGCATCCACAATTCTTTCAGTTTAACTGCTCAGTGCTTGCTGTCCAGGACATGACAACCTGAAAACCTTCATAATGGCTGGCTGCCACCTTAAATTTATATCCGTATATCAGGGCATCTGCTTTACATGCAGTTCGTTATTTATAATTCACTGTCCCTTAAATTCTAACCATCTCTGGTATAAATCCTGTAATAAGGAAAACGGCCACCCTTTTAGGCAGGCAAATAAATGAGAGAAGCTGAGAGAACAAGTAATGACGATCTATTTAAAGAGACATACCTGAACCAACACTTTCAGAGTATGTTCCCTTCCTGGATTTACTTCCTCTCCACTCAGTTGCTGCACGTGAACATTCCCCCACCACCACGAAAAAAAAATGGAAAAGGGGAAGAAATTGCTTCGCTCCCAGATATTTCACCGACATGGACGACTTCCGCATTGTGACGTTCACATTTGGGGATGGGGCCATGCCTGAAGTAGCCAATAGGAATTGCTGAGCTCATCGGTGATGTCCCCGAGTTCCAAGCCGAAGGCTGGGCACCTGGTGTCACGGGAGCCCCGCTCCCTCCAGGAGCCAAAGTTTCCAGGGCAACCGGCTGCAGCGCTCGAAGATCTGCCCCCCACCCCAAACCAATTCCAGCTACTGCTGCTCCAAAAAGAGACAGATCGAGCCTGACTGCTGGCGGCAGCCGCACTTGGCCCGCTCTGGATAGCGGGACGACACTGCGCTTGCGCTGCCCTCCAGTTGCAGGGGGAACGGCTTAGAAATCCATCTTCCTTTCATTTTCCTGCAGGTTATACAACAAAGAACAAAACAGCACAGGAACAGGCCCTTTGACCCTCCGTGTTTGCGCCGTTGTATGTTGCCCTTCCATACTAAAACTGTCTTCATGTACAGAATTCATATCCCTCCGTCCCCTACCTATTCATGTATTTTATCTAGGCGCTTCATGAATGCTGCTATTGTGTACGCTTCCACCACCTCCTCTAGTAGCGCATTCCAGTCACTCACCATCCTTTGTATGAAAAACGTGCCTCGCACATCTCTTTTAAACTTCCCCCCCCTTGCACCTTGAACCTGCGTCCCCTCGTAATTGACCTCTCCACCCTGGGGAAAAAAGCCTCATACTTTCCACTCTGTCCATGCCATTCACAATTTTATGAACTTCTATCATGTTGCCCCTCAACCTCCTGCATTCCAGTGAAAACAAACCCAGTCTATCTAATCTTTCTTCATAGCTAGAATCCCCTGTACCACACAGCATTCTGGTAAACATTTTCTGTACCCTCTCCAAAGCATCCCCATTCTTCTGGTAGTAGTGTGGTGACTAGAACTGTACGTAATATAGTACAGGGTTTGTGAATTTTCTTTAGAAAGAAGAACCGGACCAAGTACAGAAGGAGTCATTTGATGAAACAAAAGACGAATATGATTAGTCCTTGACTAGAAAAGATTCCTGATCAAAGTATACATCAGTGTATACTATTCAAAGTATACATCAATGATTTGGATGAGGGAATCCAATGTAATTTTCCCAAGTTTGTTGACACAAAACTAGGCTGATTGTGAGTGAGCAGGACACAAGATTTTGGTGAAGTCCGCAATGAGGGACAAATGTCATCATTATCTATGCATCAGGAGGCAGCTCCAGCTGCTCTCTCCTTGTTTTGAGTCAGATTTGGAGAAGATCTCACTTGTTGACAACTCCATAAAGATTTGTCCACAGTGGGAATTGGATGATGGTCCCTCACTCCAGCTTAATTCCCCTTTCGCAGAATGACACAGACTCTGGTGGCACCATTTGCATTAGACACTTCCAAAGCAGGGCTCATGAAAAAAAGGATGATGTGGATATAGTAATCAAAGAAAAGTAGTGTGAAATATTAGACAAAATAATCATAATGAGAGTGGAAGTGTTAGAGGAGCTGGAATCATTGAAAGTGGATACGTCACCAGGCCAGATGAATCGTTTCCTAGGATGTTGAAGGAGGACAGGGCGGAAACAGCAGATGCTATGAGGATTGTTCTCCAATCTTCACCACACTGGAGGCCTGTGACCAGTGGTGTGCCGCAAGGAATGGTGCTTGGTCCACTGTGTTTTGTCATTTATATAAATGATTTGGAGGCGAACATAGGAGGTATGGTTAGTAAGTTTGCAGACGACACCAAAATTGGTCATGTAGTGGACAGAGAAGAAGGTTACTCACAGTACAATGGGACATTTATCAGATGGGAAGGTGAACCTGGGAGTAGCAAATGGAGTTCAATTTAGATAAATGTTGAGATGCTGCATTTTGACAAGGAAAATCAGGGTAGGACTTATACAATTAATGTTAATGTCCTGGGGAGTATTGCTAAACAAGGAGACCTTGGAGTGCTGATTCATAGTTCCTTCTAAGTAGAATCCAGGTAGACAGGGTAGTGACGAAGGCGTATGGTATGCTTGCCTTTATTGGTCAGTGCATTGAGTATATTAGTTGGGAGGACATGTTGTGGCTGTACAGGATATTGGTTAGGCCACTTTTGGAATATTGCCTTCAGTTCTGGTCTCCCTGCTATAGGAAGGATGTTGTAAGACCTGGAAGAGTTCAGAAAAGATTTACAAAGATGTTGCCAGGGTTGGAAGATTTGAGCTAGAGGGAGAGGCTGAATCAGCTGGGGCTATTTTCCCTACAGCATCGGAGTTTGAGGGATGACCTCATAAAAGTTTATAAAATCATGAGTGGCATGGATCAGGTGAAATCAGGTGAATAGCCAAGGTCTTTTCCCCAGGGTAGCAGAGTCCAAAACTAGAGGCCATTGGTTTAAGATGAGGGGTAATGGTTTAAAAGGGAACTAAAGGGCAATGTTTTCACATAGATGGTAGTGTGTATATGGAATGAACTGCCAGAGTAAGTGGTGGAGTCTGGTACAATAACAGCATTTAAAAGGCATCTGGATGGGTGTATGAATAGGACAGGTTTAGAGGATAAAGGCCAAATGCTGGCAAATGGGATGAGTTTAGTTTAGAATACCTGGTCATCATTGACAAATTGGATTGAAGGGTCTGTTTCCATGCTATACAACTCTATAACTCTAGACTTAGGTGAGGTGCTGGAGGGCTGGAGAAATCCAAATGTGGTCTCATTATTTTAAAAAGGTACCAAGGAAATGCCAGACAACTATAGGCCAGTCAGCTTACTTTGGTGATGGGCAAATTTTAAGAATCAATCCTGAGAAATCAGATCAACTGTCACTTAAAAATGCATGGACTAGTCAGGGATAGTCAACATTGCTTTGTTAAGGGAAGGCTTATCAAATTTGATTATATTCATGAGCAATTGACAAGGAGGATCAATGTGGTAGTGAAGTGGATGTTGTCTACATGGCTTTTATTAATGCATTTGACAAGGTCCCACATGACAGACTGGTCAAAAGTAAAAACCCGTGGGATACAAGGTAATGTGTTGAATGGGATCCTCTGTTTCCAATGCTTCTAATATTTCTCCAATTGCAAGCTCTAGGAGGAGACTCTAATATTGAAAGTAGTGAAACTGTTTCAAAGCTGAGCATTTTTGATTACTTAGGAGCAAGTTCGAGCTTTTAGTGCTGTGTTCTGTTATCAGTGAGAGATTGCACAGTCTGGAGCTAGTGTGGCTCCTTTTCACTCGATCTGAATCTATGTTTATCCATTGCTCTATTTCATGTCTGCCCTCCCAGATCTCCTCTATACCACTGCCTGACTTCCTCTGTCCCTGATAATGCTTGTATTTTAGCTCAGTTTTGAATTTTACTGTCATTTCTGCTAATTGTGTCTAAATTAGGTTTTCACCACTGCCTATCCCCTGACAGTGCGCTGCTGACTTCAAAATTTTACCTTCCCACAGAATCATTAATGGTCAGAAATTGTTTCTATTACACTACTGTTAAATTCTACTCTAAATTACAAACTTCATCCAGTTCACATTTCATAGCCTGAGTTTTTGATTTTGATTTCTGTCTGACTCCCCTTGTTCTGTCTAAATGAGTTTCATGGAGTTTTTAGAAGAGGAGGTTTTACAGTCAAGAAACTGAACTCAACCATTACATCAGGATCTGAGAGAGTTGCCAAACATATCACAAGCTGAATGTCATTGAACATTGAACATGGAACATGGAAGCAGAAAGCACCGTTCACAGTTGGGAGAAGTCGTACACTGGTTGTGTGTGTGGACAAGGCTTCAAACAATTAACTGGACTGTAAGAACATAAACACATTCATACCAATGAGAAGCTGTGGAAACGTGGGCACTGTGAGACAGAATTCTTTCACCCATCAAAGCTGACAATTCGTTAGCACAGTCACACTGGGGAGAGGCCATTTGCCTGTTATGGCTGTGAGGCGGGATTCACTTAATCATCCACCCTGCTGACACCATAGAGCTCACACTAGGGAGAAACCATTCATCTGCTCTAAATGTGGGAAAGGATTCACTCAATCATTCAACAGGCCAAGCAGCATCATAGGAGCAGAGAGGCTGACGTTTCGGGCCT